ACAGACAACCTCTCGTCAATATGCGTTTTTCGCATTGCATTGCTGCAAAAAACGCATAAAAAACCTCAGCCGCTCCAAATAAAGTGTCACTTGAACGATTTCTAGTAAAGTAGTGCATAAACATCAAATAAGTAATGGTTGCCAACTAAAGACGTATAGCTCAAGATCAAAGGGCCTGTCACGACTTGCCCTACATCTAGGAGTATCTCAGTAATGTCACTAACTTGGGATACCCATACTGATTGTTCGGACAGTTCTGATGATTTTAAGTGGATGTTTCAAACGAATTTCAATTTACTAGCGAAAAAAAGCAAAGACTTGTTTGTAGTTGCTGGCGATTGCACTGCCTGTCTTTGAGGATAATGTTATACAGCGAGATCATATATTCCAAATTGATGACGAGAATGCGTACATTCCGGATGGTGGGAGAACACGAAGCGCCACAATGGCCAGTATATATGGTGCTACACTTGGCATCTTCTCTTGTGACTTCGATTCCAATCACGAGGTAGGCTATTCTTCTTATCAGTCAAAATCAACAACACTGATTGGAACATAAGGTGAGAAGCCTCCACCGTAATTCGTTATCTGTGAGAAACGAAGACACGTGGGAACTGCCCGAGCGGTTGCACGTGCCAACAGCAACCACGAGCCAGAAAGGCAATCAATGGCCCTCTCCTTCGGAAATTGCTTATAAACAAATTCTGATGACGAAAAAACAGCGAAGCTGTACAACGTTATTGCTAAAAAAATGAGAGCGAAAAAGCAATGCAAGAAAGAATGCTTGAAAGAAATTTTTTTGGCCATATAAAAACTCAGATGATAAATTTTGGATTGTAAATTTGTATAGCCCTGCAACAGTAAGCAAAAACGCAAAAATCAGGTGATAAATTTTGAATGATAAATTGGTACTGATAGATGCCGCGGAGTCAAAGCCGAATCAATTTGTTTATGAGCAACCTTCAAAAAGTAGAAACGATCAACAACCTTACGAGCAAGTTGGGACTTACTACCATTCGGGCTATTTCTTGAGTGCCTCTGCCTCTCATAGATAGTGAACGCAAAGAGAAATTTTGATTTCTGACTATAAACAATCAAGGTGGTGACGTACCAAAATATTGTCATTTTCGTGAAAGAATATCAATTCTAATAAACACGCACTGTTTGCTGCGTTGCTAATCAGCAACTTTCGTATGTCCAAGCATTTTTCACTCTATTTCTTCTTTCAGCACAGCTAGTGCTCGCTCTTAAGCTTTCGTCGATGACCACGTTTCGCATCGGTGTCCTCAGGCCAACGGTATTGAAGAAAAAGGCACTAATCACCGCAGTAAAAAAATGACTTGATTATTAAGTTTTTTGAAAACAAATTAAAAACGAATTTGTTTAGGGTAGTTCACAGATGCAGCCAGGAATGCCAGTGATCTTGGAATCAAAAACCGATGATTCCCTAAGACGAGGTGAGTTCCACGTCAAACTTATTCTTAGTGCCAATTTGGGGCAGAAAACGAAAATCAATGCTGTGAATTCCGATAAAGGTGTGTGATGCATTTCGCTGCCAAAGTGCCTCTGAGAAAGCCGTGAAAAAAAATTATCATTAGTTCCATTCTCAGTGACTTCATATATCATTTTCTCATGAATCCATTAATCTTCCACATTATGTGGATGCTGCTGTGGCAGATTCCGATATTTTCGTGCTCGAGAACTTGATTCCGATAGTTTAACAACCAATTCCTTAACGGCGCGTTTTTCCTTCCGATAAAAAATCGGTAATGGTAAATGTCTGGAAGCTAAAATCGTCATTAGCTTGTTACTAAGCAACCTTTGAAAGAGAGAGTCATCGATGGCCTTGCTAACAAGTAGCAACTGTTAATT